TTAGTCCCCTTCATTATCGGAGGACGGACCTGTTTGTGCTCCACAAACGATCGGAAACCTCCACAAAAATCTGCCCCAACTTTTGTGGCGATCGCGTAAACAAAACCGAGTTTAAGTTGAACCGTTCTGAGTTTGGCAGTTGTTTAAGTGACGCTGTACACGCTAATAAGTTTGTATCGTAAGACATCTATCAATAAAAGCAGATCCATACTACTAATTCCGACTGTCATAAATTGTAGCATTAATTTAACGACAAACCGTTAGATAGTGCTATCCTTCGGGAACTATCCGTGTACAAAGTAGCGATAAGGTAACAAAAACGATAATCTATCAGAGGATTTTTACCTTTAATCGCATTGTTTTAAAGCTTCTTCAAGGTTGCCCGTATTCGAACTTGAGACGTTAGGAACGTGTCGTATTTTGTTGTTGATGGCTCCAAATTGATAAGCAATCGTAACAATGGGTGCGAGGGTTCAGAATCGATCGTCGACAATAGCAGGGACATTAGGTAAATTGCCTAATGTCGTCTAAACGGATGCTGTATTAATGTTTTGTTTTGGGGTAAGTGCAGCTATTGTGTACGTACGGAATTCAAATAAATGTTTACATTAGAACAGAGCATTAGATAACTTCCAAGAGACAGTTTACATATTGATGATATAAAATAAATTGTAAACAACTAGCACGTATAAAACTTTCACTCGGAGGGCTTTGTAATTGTGGTGTGTGTGTGTTCTTACCTCTAAAACACGCGATGTACGTACAGGAAGTGTAATGATCGGCTCGTATATGATGAATGTGTGTTTTTGTAACGTTATCTCCGTTAATACTGAAGCGGATACTTACACGTGTATTGATCGATTTGTTTTTGTTGCTTCTCAAACTTTAATATTTTATTTATATTAATGTTAAAAACATTACTCCGAATGTTCTAGAATCTCATATACATAATCTTATGAATTCATAGGAATTATTATTAAAATTGCTCATATGATTATGCGTACGTACATTACATGTATTTCTGGAACTGACTCTATTTTGTTCTGTGAGATCTCAAAGTATTAAAATTTCCATTAAATAGAATAGCTTACCGCCCCCAGCGGTGTGTGTTACAAAAATAATATGAACTCGTTATAAAATATAATGTTATTGTTAGTGTATTAATGAACGATGTTTGGGAACATGTTCCTAAATAAATTATACAAATTATCTGAATTAAAACTCGTTTCGAATATGACCCGGGGTCGATAAGGCGGGCCGTTGACATTTTTCCTATCGATGTTATTTGATCAATTGATCTTTTGACAATATTTGAGGAAAAAAAAATTACGTCAATACAACAGTGCTATTATGACGCAATCTTGGTGATACATCGCTTCAGTTCGGATGTCTGTTGTTGCGGAGTGTTGTGAGTGATGCAACACAGGACAAATGATTCTCAGAGCCAGATGTTACTTATACCGTCTCCGGATAGGTTTCTGTCCGTGGAGTGAGGATCGGAGGCGTTGCAGTAAAGCAAAGCCAACGAGCCGTGCTGCAGCCGTAAATCTCTTGAAAGCAGAGTGTCCCACTCCAGAGTTATCGACACGAATTATAATAACAAAGGGTTGTATAAACGAATATCAAACCACGCTCCGTTTCCGTTTCCGTGTCAAAATATTAATATTAACGATATCTTCAACGACGCTGCCGCTGCTGTAACTAAAAAAGAAATAACACGTATAATTTATTCGCGATGAGATTTCTTTTGACGCCTTTGTTTCAGGAGCTGTTTAATTGAATTATTTATGTATGGTGTCGCGGCGCGAAGGTCTGGTCGCCGGTTCAGTCAGTCATTACCGATTACTAGGACGTCGATCAAGAACCGCCGCGTATCGAAACCGCTTCATACATTTGTCATCGATAAAAAACGAGATTCGACACACTTCATAATCTCGCCGACTGCGGACCGATGCGAACTCATTATTATTACTAACACAACTATAAAATAAATATATATCAGCTACAAATGATCCAGGTCCCTATTAAAACCCCGTATCAATAGATTTGCTCCGATTAAGGCAGCTGGACATTCGGATTCTTATTGTCCATTGACGGACGGCGTAACACCCGGGTCATCGGTCATTATGACGCCACATGAATACAGACCTTATGTCTATGTGATGTAATAATCATATTCCTGTCCATATTTAATAAACTTTATGAGTTTCGATTGAATAATGTCATTTTGTAACCGGTTCGAACCAGTTCCGTCCCTACGACACGTGGTTACGGTTTTTGTTATGCAAACTATTGAAATTATCGGTTTTTTTGTTCTCGAACTGTGTCGTACTTATTTATGATATATTTTACGGGCAGCTGATGCTATGTTTCACCCGATCCTATCTGTGCCTAGTTCGGTATTATAATATGTTATATATTAATTCAAGTCGATACAATCTAGCGTTGTATCAATCACAGCCGTTCTAGCTTTATAGAGTATAGCTCCAGGCACTCTCCGGGGAAATCTGAAACGAACAAGAATTTGACTTTCCATCCAGCGAACACATCTCAATGTCCTTTTATTTTTACATTGAATCTTTATTCCTCCACAATACACCCTGAACTGTCTTTACGTGCATTTGTAAGACTACAATCATCTAGACGTCTATATAAATAAATAGTAATTATGTTAATTTAATATGTTCGGTATCGGTGGCATAAAATTGTATCAAAGGCTTCCATTATAACGAATTTCGCAACTGTATCCCAGAAACGGAACGCTCAGCAGCGACAGGACTCCCCATGAATCCTTAATGAGTAAATTAACAGCACCTATTGTTTAGGAACGTTGTTTTTTATATCGGAATATTAATAACCATCCCCATTGTCTCAGGCTCTGGAGGGTGAGAAGAAAAATGTTCCATTCATTTTGGGGGCCAGAAAGTTTGATTTGATTGATTTTTGCATTAATTTCAATAAGTATAATGGACGCACTTGTTTCAGACAGAGCCAATTTGGTTCTGTAGGGCTTCCTGAGGTTTTGTTTAACGAAATATTTATATAGCTAGGTTGATATAAAGACCTCCTCTCAGTTCACTGTTAACACGGAACATTGAAGATAGATCTCGCATCCGCTTCAGATAACAGCCGACAAGAAACTATTAGATAAGCAGAAATCAATTAAAGATGCCACTGTGTTGCCGCGTCTCAATAATATTGTCAATTATCCAGAATAGTGTCGATCTCACAAGAACCCTTTAATGGAACATAGAAACAGATAGGTCATTATACCTATAATATGTCACAAATCATCTTCCACGCTACACAAAGTTTATAATGAATTGACATATTCTGTACACGTGTTGCTTGCTCCCAACTAACGCTCCACGACATACGACAGCGTGCGTCGTGTGCGGACGATCGAAACTGAACCTTAAACACAAAACTATCGAGTTCAATATACATTGAAACGATGAACGCATTAGACACACTCATGTCATCGGAAATTAGTTCTTATTGGAACGGATCGAAGAAAGTGTTTCGGTTAATTCGTTGGAATACATCAAGCGTCATTATCGTGTGAAGTACGTATTCTAATAAGAGGTGTAATATTTGAAGTGATTGTTATTTCGATCGGCGCTTATTCCTCCTCGTACTACTCCAACAGTTCCTTAATCTTTCTACATACATTCCCTGAATTGAAACTTAATGTATTGAACTTTTATTGTCTTGTTGTAGGTACACAATACACATCTTCTCCCGGGCCGCGTCTCGTGTAACCTGCTCACGATGTTTGATCTGCGATGTTTTATGTATGGTAGTTTAATGAATTTGTGCGTCTATTAGAATTAGGCTATCAATATTAATTAGCTTTTACAATAAATGGCCTCGTCGGTTCTGAGAGAGAGGCGTTGATGCGTTTAATTAAACAGTAATTAATGTATTGATTGGCATGGCTGGTCGTCGTTTCTTTTGTTCTTCACCAATCGCATACACTAGTATCGTTACTTTAGAGATCTGTTAAAGGTTTTTTTCCTCGGTGTGTTGGACCGTCGCCAAACTCGGCCCGTTTCATGTTTCATTGCTCTCTACTAATATTCGATAACATTTTTTATACTATCGTACAATAATTTTAAAGTTATAACCGTATTGTATGACATAGGTTTAACAGCGAGACTCCTAACTCAGAATTCAAACGCATAAAATATTTATCGATGTAATATAATATCCGAGGTTCACTCCCAATATATTTTAGAAGCGTCATCCGAAAATATAATAGTAACAGATGTGCGTTGTTCCGAACAAGAACACTACGACACGATGTATATAACAATGGAAATAAAAAAATATATCTTGTATATAAAGATATGATGAAAATAATACTCATATATAGACACGTATCTAAGAGGAATTAATTCTATTAAGAAACAACGTGTAGTTTGTCAAGATTTTTTTGTTAATTGTCACAGTTATGTAAACAACAAATAGTAGTGACTAAATGATAACATGATATCATTAAGCCACGAGCATCACATCTTCGACGAAACCCTTATCGGGATGCGTTATCAGTACGGGCGTATTAAAATTGGATCACACTGCGTTCCTTCCACCGCCCGCGCCGAATCTAAGAAATCATACGGCCCGTAGTTTGGACAGGTTTCCTAATATGTTGACTTCACATGGCTAACTCAATAAAGCGAGTGACGTCAGCTGTAAAACCGAGAATTACACTGTAAGAGAAACAAAAGTTCGAAAATAAGCAAGTCTTTGAAGATAAATAATTTATTGCCCCACTAAAACCTGCATAAGAAAGCAATGTTGATAAACATCGTACATTAAATATGTAACTGTTGACGATCGTAAAACGATGGAAGCCAGACGTATGTTACACTACATCATACATAAATATCACTTCGAGCCCAAGTTCCAGTTCGTAGGAAGTCGTGTTTATTGGACGGCCGCCGCGCCGTAGAGACGTACTTATATTTGGCAAGTCGAAAAGAAACTCCACGGGCGATTTACAGGCGATGGCCTCCGTTTGATCTGGTATCACCACGATCGGCGGGATAACGATGATACAGTGGACTGGACGCATCGCTTCCATTGATGTACGACTGAAGAAGGTCGCGGCGGGCTCGGGCGTGAGTCGTGATGCGGCAGGAGCGAGGAGGAGCCGCTGGAGCCGAGGCCGCCGGTGCTCGACTCGTTATAGAAGCAACAGGTGCGCCGCGGTGGTCTAAACGGGTCACAAGTTTTTTGTTTACGTTTTACGAATTTATCGCATACGTTGACGTCTGGAGGCGCCCGTTTGATTCATGCGCAGGCGCTGTCACTTTTTAATACTGATTTACAATAAAAACATACCGTCCCAGCGGCGATTGATGCGACTTATGATTAATGTCCAGCCTTTGATGTCGCCTGCTATGAATCTATCGACTTGGCTTCTGAATATCGACGCTACGCTATATATAGACTGGCTTCGCTCGTGTTGTGTTCGTTTCAGTTAATTATAAGATTATTAAGGCGCTACCATATCATAACATCGGATGAATGTTTCCTCTTTAATACTGCGATACGTACACCCGAGTTATTTATCTCGCGTATGATAATATTATTACAGTCTCCGTTACTCATCGCCGCACGTGAGTCTCCACTAACGTATCAACAGTCGTTTACTAAATTCTAGTTTGACGGATAAAAAAGATTTAAACAGAATCTCCCGCACCATTACCGAATTCCTATACTCGTATAGTAATAGAGAAAGAGTCAATTTACCTTCCCCGCATCACGCTATGCTGTCACGGTAGGGCTAAATTACAGAGGATAATTTTTTTGGTGCTTTAAAATTAGACTAATCAGCATCGAGTACAAAGAATCACATCGCTTTCATCATCGACATGATGATGTTTACTTCGCATCTTCCGAGAAACCGACCCCAGTATTCAATACTTGGAAATAAATATCTGACTTTGACATTTGCTTTCATGTACGCTCGCATGTTTCGTCTGTAATTATGGCACCAGCGGTGATCGTCCGCCTTATGTTCATATCAATAGGGTTCGGTTTCGTACGCGAGTTCGTTTTAGTTTTTTGTTATTAAATTATCGTGCGTGGCGATTTCAGAGATGATAGGTTGTGTTTGATGGGACGTCTGATTGCTTCTCTTGTCGACGTTACGAATCCGTTGCTTTCTCTTTGATTGACTGCGATTAAATGATCGTTTGTCTAGTTTGACGTTTAGGAGGTCAAAGGCAATCAGGGTATTGTAAATTGATGTCGAATTTCTGTGATTCATTTCTTCATTACGACAAATTACACGACACCCATATTACAATGTTACAGTTGCGACTTTTTTCTATAATAAGTGTTTGTATTCGTGTGTCAGTAATGATAAAACGAGTAAATCATGTTAAATATTAAAATGATATTCCAAGTCGAACTGACGGTGAGTTTACGACGCCCGAAACCTAATAAGAGAAATGCGTGTGCCGACCAAAAATAACAAAATTAAAATAAATCGAACGACAGACAGTCGTCATAAACTAATTTCGAGTGTTTTCCTTTTGGTACACAAAAATAGCGTCATCACTCTTTCATGTGCCGTGTTAGAATGACATTAAGAATTTACAGTTGGGGATCGAGTGTAACGCCATCTATGTGCACAAATATTAAATAGGGTAATGACCTGCGCTTCAAATTAACTTGCCACAGATAGGTAGGTAGATGCAATACTTACAACATATTATAATCATTTTGTGACTAAAGAAATATGCACACTTCAGTTAATAATTTAAAATAAATCGCCGTTAATAAGAAAAAAAAGTGTTTAGTTCAAATCAAAACCAATTCGGCGAAACCATAATCAAAAAAAGTTGTTTCAGAACTGAATCGTTTATCGGTTGTCATCAAAAAGAAATAACATTTCAACCCTTCTATGCCAACTTAATTAAAATCGAGTGAGATCTGGGAAAAGGAAACGGAAAAAATATCACAGGGAAACTTTGTCACTTCGATAGGGTTTATAAAAAGTTAAGACAACTCGTTTCATAAAGGGAACGAAATCAAATTTTTGAATCGGTACAAAGTCCTAATTAAACATTTGTCGATGTTGACGTGTTATAATAGCGGTAGGAAATGTTTACTTGCATCAGAAGCAAATGGAATTTATGTGGACAAATAGACTGTGTTTAAAAAACGCTTGTCCCTCGGATGCATTCGGGTTTCAATGGAAATTGAATTGCTGAATTTCAAACATTCACTATGGCCAGTGTTTGTGCACTAAAGCAATTTTCTCAAAAGAATTTCGCTCACATTGAAGCCTAAACTGATTTTGTGTAAAGATTTTTCATTCACATTACGAATTCTGTTTACATTTTTTTTTTAATAGCCCAATGAATGGTTAACAAATAAAGGCTCCAATTCACTACAACGCAGATTTCGGCGATTGAATGCAGTAATGACGACCGCTGAAAGGAGGAGTCAGTCAGTACAGTTGAGAGTGTTCATTCAGTGGACTTCACTTCACATATTCTTTTTGGACTATTTTGAAGCTCTTTTTAACATTAACGTACTACATAGTTAACGAATGAGTAATTGAAGATGTTGTTAATCACAAATGTTTAATGGATATGTTACTAGCTCAGACTCAGACTCGATAATGATTTTTTATCAGACTGTAAAATAAAAGTGAACAGATGAAATTAATTCCAATAAAGACAGCCAGGATACAGCAGTTCCAGTTGAATCAACCGACATTCCTGTAGGCGGGCTCGGACGCCAAATAAATAGATAAATTGATTTTAATGCTGTATCACTTTACACCGAGATGAGATAATATTGATTGATTGCACCAATATCGATGAGCCACAATTGATCCTAATAAGAAAATTTAATAAATTACATACACCCAACACCCGACCACTGCCGCTGTTTATTTATAGAGGCTGATCAATAGGCCGGTGTGAAGTTATGAATGCTAAAGACGTATCGGTGGAGTGGAGCTATATCAATTAATCGAACATAGCTTTTTAAACATTCAATTTATCGATAACTGCCAACACTAATTTCAATTCTGAATATAAATGATTAACCGAGTGGTAGACGTATCGTTTTAATTGAGCCACAATAAGCGTCTCTGTGTTTACTACAAAGTACAAGCTGATATTTATTTAGTGCGAGGATTACCGACGTTCGGTGCCGATCAATCATTCCATTGAACGTATCCTGTGCCACTCTAGTGATGTATTATTGGACGTTATCGATAAGCTTGAATGGGGAGAATAAAGAGAAATTATCATAAGAAATGTCAAATTATATTAGCGTTACTGTTTTAACGAAATAGTGATATGAGTTTAGTTTATAACAAATATATGGAATGTTTTATAAAACTGACATAGTTAGAATTCATATGAAGTCAGAAGAGAGTATAGTTAAATGTGGATTTATCGTAAATCATTGATGGGAGGCCATCCCTAGATCGAGCGAACTGTCAAACCCAATTCAACGATGCCCCCGCGCATGTAATTGATTTATTGATCGTACGTTACATTCGATATGAGATGGGTTGCGCGGGCGCAGCCAGTTAACCGCAAGGCTATTGCATCCTTTAACTGTAATTTTCTAGCCATTTAACCGGCTGACCTCATATACACATCTCATCCTATCCTATACGGGAGTTATATTTTGTTATCGTCATCTTTATTGGTGTGTCATTAGATAAATATTTGTAATGAGAGACGAGCCTGTATGATGTTAAGTATATTTAGTTGCTAGTGATGTTTACCTCTTTCTCTTTGGCAGCCAGCTCGTTCTCCAGGTTCCCAGCCTGAGTGACCACGGGGCTGCTCCTGGACGAGTTGCTGTTACTCCTAGCTGTGGCCGCCATCTCGATCTTCTGTTCTATATCTTCATCAATGTCTGTCAGGATTCTCTTCTCTTCTTTGATGTCGGGACTGAATCTCTCGGGTATTCTTGTTTCCGTTGCCTGTTCCCTGGTCGGCTCTAAGTGAGAGCCATTAGTTTTGGGGACCGTGGCCTGGAGTGAGGTCGGGCTCGTTGTGGCGAGCTGTTCCTTCAACGTCGTCACTTCTTTCTCAGCCAGAGTAGCTCGCTGTAACAAACAGATATAGTTTTATATATAGACGTGATCTTTGTTATATTTTAAAGCTTGTTTGGTGTTTATAGAATTATATGGCAATAAAACATTGATTCGTTTTTTTTAATGTGTTTTAATCTAATTAATAATCAGTTCCCATAGTTTATTTGTTCTTGTGGTCGGTGACGTGGTGCTTTTGTGGTGTTTCCTGTACCATTCACCGCTGTTCATTTGGTAATCTCTGGATCTCATTAAAACGGATGCGTGCTGATTATTGGCCGGTACAAAAAAAAAATTGCTTTTTTTATTCACTACTCGACCGTTCAGGTTTTGTCTAAAAACTGCATTAGCATGCATTGTTTCATAAACAATGGCTATTGGCTTATTGAATACATTAACGATGTTTACGAGCTACTAAATAAAATATTACTTAATATGAATAAAAATCGAGTGTACGTCGTTTATCGCGAGGAAGATCGAAACGCGTGTCTCTCATGTTATTTAGCAATTAGTTTTCGCATAATAAATTGTGTAAATAGCCAACGAAAGCAATAAAACAAAAAGCAGGTGAAATCGATGATCACAATAAAGAGATTTGAGCAATTAAAGCAAATGATGGAATATTCGAAATGCACGGTGTGTATACGCGTGACGTGCTTGATAACATCACACTTACAGTCTTAGGGTGCTGCCAGATTGGTGGCATTTGAGAGAAGATATATATTATATTAAAAAAACAGCACTTATTACTTTTAATATATCTCCAAAGTGTTGTGTATAGGGAATAATGTATACAAGTAAATTAATTACTAAAGAAAATATTTTATTTTGAACACACAGCTCTGTCACAAAATTAATGGGTCTATGTTAGTGTAAAGTCAGCTTGCGTCCACGCAAATTTCACGTGCATTAGCGATGAAATCAAAGATTATTGGATTAATAGCGTATGTACATAGAACAGTTAAAATCTTATCACTCGATAAATCTGTTTCGTTACAACGCTCGCACCATTGACTTGTGCTAAACCATCGGCACAGACAACTTCATTGTACTCCTTTTACATAAATACTTTCAGAATCTATAGCAAATGCACCGTTTTGATGGACCTCGACATGTTCATCCACATATGTCCAAATAGAAAAAACGGTCAGATCATTTCGTACGTGTTTAAGTCATATACAGGATGATTCAGATAACAGGAGTGATCAATCACACTCAATTGTTTCAGTTACGTAAGCGACAATACTTTCTGCCTACGTTACTTGAACCAGTGGGATTGATGGACATTCAAGAAATACTTGGAAATATCGCATTATATAAACTGACATATTTGTAATCATCCTGTATATGGATGTACGAGTTGGCAATCGAGATTTTGGATTCACTTCATGGGATTTCAAAGTAATATTACTAAATATGATTAAAGTTTTATATCGTTACGCATGCGTAATTAAGATTAATAATATTGAAATTCTAATTAGACATTATTATCATATCAGTAATATCAAAGTATATTTGCATTTAATTGAATCATAACTAAGTGTCTAATTAAATGTATATATGACGTTGAATAATAGAGAAATCTGGCAATAAAGGTGAAACAATATAAAAGATGATATCCGAATTGTTAATTTATACACACGTTCTAATCTAATTATATAAAACCGTTTCAATTTGAACCGAATAATCATGTTTACAACTAGAAAGTAGAAATTGTTTTGAAAGCAATGCAATCATAGCGGTCATTCTTATAAAAGAAGAAAAAAAAAACATCACGTATGTTTGGCGGCCATTAGGCGATCCAGAGGCAGTTTTAATTGTGAGAACGCGAACGTTAAATATAATAAAAATAATTTTGGAATCATTAAAAATAACCGAAACTTCAAATATTAGAAGAGATTCTT